GCAATCAGGGTCTTAAAGTATACTACCTAGCACAACCTTATGGAAAATGGCTGTGGATGGAGGAATGCCCTTCAACAAGATTAAGTTGTGTTATTTTAACAACTAGAAAAGCTAATCAAAGTTTATTAGAACACATCCTACGAGTCTCTGGATTACTGCTATATTAATATGATTAAAAAAATCACTAGGACATTTTCAGCAATGTGATGATACAAATTAAATGTTTCAATTTACTGAGTAGAAAACTCAGTGTGTTACTACAAGTCTCAATCAATACATATGTCCCGTGTAATTGAAACATTGCATTGTGATCTGATGAGAGGCCTTTGGGGTAGTAATAAGAAGGACATGGAATAGAATGGACCATTTCGAAGCTCATTAGATCTCATTGATTTGGAAGTCATACCAAAATATCTTGATTCTATCTGCACATTAAAAATCTGTAGCATATGGGATTTTCATTAAACTAATAGCATTATATTAACATTCTTGGTCCCTTTAGAAATAGTCAATTCTGTCTGAGAGAAGAGAATACTCTCACAATATTGAAGCCTCCCAGCAAGATTACTAAGAGAATTCAGCCCAGGAGGTCCATTCTGTAACACTACCTTATCTTCTATATGTCTGAAATCATACTAGGTATGTGTCCTGGAAGCTTAAGAATACAGTCATTCACATCAGTCTCTACAGAGCTAATTCTCTTGCAGAGTCCTCATTAAAAAGCTATCCAGTAACATCTGGCCACTCTAAGGAATCAAAATGTACAAAATATCAGTGCCTCCAAAGTGATGTTGGTCAGAATTAATGACTCTTGCTCTAGTACACTATTAAAGAAAGGAAAGCAACATTTCAAAATAAATGATATGATGTATTTTGTGAGTTCATATTAGACAGTAAATTGGTACTAAGTATAAACATCACCAGCTCAATCTGTTCCTTTATTGAGTGGAATAGCAGTATTTACATTTTCCCAAATATGTAAAACGAACAAACAAAACTCTTGGGAGACTTATAGTGAAGTGGTGTGACCTGCAAAAATTATTGTTCAATAAGCAAAGAAATGGTTGAATCAATTTACTTAAGTACACATTGACCTTCCTTAACATCAGCCTTCTCCACTTTATTTAATTCTGTGCTCATTCCTCACATACACTAAGTTAATAACTTTTGCTAGATATCATAGAACAGTATTAGTTATGGGTTCTATTAAAATGTCAATTTGAAGCCAGGTATGGTGGTACACATCTATAATCCCAGCACTTGGGAGGCTGAGGTAGGAAGACCATGAGTTTGAGGCTAGTATGGACTACATAACAACTTTGAGGCCACTCTTGTCTACATAGCTAGACTAGTTTGTCTCTCTCTCTCTCTCTCTCTCTCTCTCTCTCTCTCTCTCAAGGAAGGAGTCAGATCACTTCATTCAGCTAAAAGGAAAGGAGTTAGATCACTTCATTCAAGTATCATAAGATAACAGTCACGAATATCTGTTTGAATCTACCTATTCTCTCTCTCTCTCTCTCTCTCTCTCTCTCTCTCTCTCTCTCTCTCTCAAGGAAGGAGTCAGATCACTTCATTCAGCTAAAAGGAAAGGAGTTAGATCACTTCATTCAAGTATCATACAGTGCAGAAATGCATTCCACTTAACAGGTTCAAGACTGCAATCAGATAAAGGGGTGCTTGTCTTTATTGCTTAATGTTTAGAAATATGAAAAAAATGGACACCAATAAATACTTGAGAGTATTAAGGTCATATCTGATTAAAAATAAATGTCCCCCTAGATTACCAAATGTATTAGTTACCATTCTATAGGTTACACTACTATAAAATTAGTTCTTTAAAAACATCATGCTTTATTAGTTCACTCTTTGTAAAAGATTAAGAGATCAGGCAGGTTTAGTTTACCCCTTGGCTCAGAGTTTCGTAGAATTACAACCTGCAGGCTATACTCTTATCTTGATGCTTGACTGGTGAAGTTGCACTAAGCTCTCCGGTTGTTCACAAAAGTTGATTTCTTTCAGTTCTAGGACCAGGGACTGGTTTGGGCTCTCAGCTGGATGCTGTCCTTAGCTTCTACAGACCACCTGCAGCTAGTTGCCACTCTGGCTTTCTTATCTCACCCACTCAACAGTGAGAGTCTCTTGTGATAGCAACATACCAGCAAAACAGAGTTCTACATAGCTTAATCATATGCATGATGTACCTTGCTTTGCCGTATTCTATTTCTATTAAAAAAAAAACCATCCACACTCCATGAGGGAGCACAGAAGCATGAGGAAGCAGAAATTTGGGGATATGAAGCAAGTTTCTTCTCTCCCAAGTAGCCCCAAAATACCAATTCTTTAGTAACACCTAAAAGTCCAAAGTTTATTATCTAAATCAAGTGCAGTTATGGAAGAAACTCCTGGGGTACAAGTGATTAACTCCTACAGCACAATTCCTCTCAATCTATGTTCCTGTGAAACTAAAAAAGACAAGTTTCATACTCCAAACTCATCCAATTCAGTCATGGGACCTGCATGAGATAAAGCTATCAACATTTCTCTTCATAAAGAAGGAAATGGGTCAACCCATGGTGGCACACGCCTGTAACCCTGCCAGTCAGGAGGCAAAAGCAGGAGAATTGCTACAAGTTCAAGGCTACCCTGGTCTATGTAGTGAGTTCCAGGCTAGTTAGAGCTCACATCAAGATCCTTTCTCAAAAGAAAAAAAGAACCAGAAGGAAAATAAAGGTACTAAAATCTACCCAGATTAATGTTAAGGGCTCTTGTTTAGGTTTCAAGACCTAGAACTAAATCTCTAAAACTGTCTGTCTCCCTCTTTTTCTTAAATTTGACTTCAGCTCTGGGTAGAATTTTCCCTTATGTCAGCCCTAGGTAGCAGAACATAAAATTTTTCATGGTTCTTAATCCCTGCCATCTCAGGAGAGAATCTTTCTTTGGAGTCCTAAGAAGACCCCAGGGAGGGCTTTGTTTAGCACAGTTGATCATTACATTAAATGCTATAGCTAAGATGATTAGTAAAATTTAGTAAAACTTGCTTAGTAAAACTTGGATGTAACTATCTCTAGAAACAAGCTTAGGGTCAGGATTACTGGAGCTAAATAAACTTTAAAAGTTAACCATCTTTCCATGAAAATGTTTAATTACATAGTACAGAAAATGTTGTGGTACTATATTATAAAGAAGAGATTTTCAGATCTAGATTCAAGCAACCAAAATTCTATTTACATGCAATTAATATTCTAATTTCTGCTACACCTCCCTCCATCCCAACTCCTCACTCATCATAATTAGTATGCTCATTCTACTTCACACACTAGTGGGGTCCCTCAGTGTGACAGAAAGATTAAAGACAAATGAGCTCTACAGAGTATCCCTATTGGGGAGTATTCGATGTAAGAAATTATTAGTTTGAAGGGAACAAACTCAAGCAGTGAATTTTAAATATTCATGGTATCAAAACAGGATGTTTACTGCATGGAACCAGAAATAAGAAAGCAGTATCCCACTAGACAATAACATAAGATATGGATTGAGAACCAGCAGACATGAAGGGAAGCGCAAGGATCCCAACCAAAACATAGACCATTCCCTCAGCTGCACTGGTAGAGATTAAGCCTCCATCAGAAGCCCTCCATCCAGATAGAGTATTTAATCTTAAGCTGATGTGCATCCCAATAAAAATACAAATATTTATTCCACAACTTTAATTTCACTATTCTCAATTTTTAAAATTAAATCTCATGGGTACTTATACTGGTGATTTGGTAAATCTCACCTTGATATTACAGTCAAGACTGGTACCAGCTTAGAAAAAAAATAATTGCTTCCCTTACAAAAAGCTGTGTGAACAAGGTTGGGAAGTAAGTATGTTTCATATAGATATGAACAGTGTTGAGGCTAAAGAGGTCATGGAACAATCCAACTGAGAATTGCCTGGCCATCAGTATCTTTGGACTCACCAGTGGGTCATGCAGAAGTTTAAGTTTCTTGAAGGGAAGAACATCCATTGCTTCCCTATTCTACGCCTTTTGGCCTGACTAACTCCTTCTTATCATTTAGATCCCATCAGAAATGTCACCTTAAAGAAGCTTTCTCTGAACCATCCTCTTTTCTAATTCTATTCTCTCCTTTTTTCCCCCACTGTCTGAAATTTATTAACTTGTTAAGTACATGGAAGTCCACACAGAGTATTTTGCTAGCTTACTTGTTTACTATGAATTTCTTCAACCAAATATTAAGCTCCATGATATAGAGCTAATCCTCTCTTGATCACCACATTAACTCAATGTCTGGTATATAGTAAACTTTAATGAATATTTGCTGAACCGATGGAAAGGACACCAGACTCAGGTAGTTGAGGCTTGACCTCTATTAATAGAGGTACCACAAGGACTAGTTCTTTCCATGATCACAAAGGGTGAAAGAAATTGCTATTTCCATATGAAGTCAAGAAAATACATAAACATAGGTGGGCTATACTGTTTGATAATTTCAACATTAGAAGTTCTTTAAATACCCAAGACTTTCTCTGAGGTGCTTAGAATTTTGTAATTTTAAAATTGTGTTTTATAAACAGAAGAAATTTCACCTGAAAAATCAATGACACCAAGAACATAAAATGAAAATATTTAATTCCCTTTTGAATGTGTGCTAAATTCACAAATCAATATAGCATTTTCAAGGCCAAAAGGGACAAATGATACATTTAGAAGGCAACTGACTGCATAAAAATATAATCTACATTGTACTTAATTCTTAAAAGCAACCTCAAGATTTTATTCTATAGTTAATGTCTTGCAATAGTGAAATCTTTACATCCCAAGATACCAAAACAATGTACTACACAATAAAAGACATTTTGTTTTTTATGTTGCATCATCTTCATATACCAGTAAAAAATAAACTCTTTAATAAATAAATACATATAATAAATATTTCCAAATTGAAAATGTATAAATAGGTCCATTCTTCTTTATAAAAAGTTCCATCTTGGTGAGGCATGTCTTATAGCTCTAAGTTAACCCAGAGTTTTGGTTTTGGTTTTTGTTCTACATATAATGCCATGACCTGAAAAATTCTGAAGATCCTCTGAATTTGTGAGGCAATAATCATGTCAATTCAATCCATTTCTTCAACATGAAGTATATCTATTTTTAAGGTAACTTTACAAGTAAACTTTATCCAGAGAGGTGAGGCACCAGCAGCAAACTTGGTGAGGTTCCCATTGTCCACAGCTTAACTGACTCCAGCTTCAGTCAGCTGGTAAGGTAGAGTCAAGGTATCGAAGGAAATATAGCCCACTTAAGAAGCATGATCTTGCTCTGCTTCAAGTTAATTCCTTTTTCTCAGTATTATTATCTCAGTGTAATACAGATGCTGTGATATTCTGAATGTCTTTTTCTTCAGTTGTTATCTAAGAATGGGAACTGTGATTTGAGAACAGTTCTGCTTTCATTCTTTAATGAAGACAGCATCACACTTCAAGTGTACATGAGTAGGTCTTTGTACAATTCTGGAACTCTTTCTGGATCCACTGGTCTAGGTAAGAAGTGGGTAAATTTTTGATGTCTTTTGGACCTGGCTCCATCTCGTGGTGTTCCATCTTTGTTAAGTGCCACAAAAAACCTGCGACCAGTGTCTCCATGTTTATATATGTTAGATGAGTAGGTATTATACCAGTTCTCTTCAAATTGTTCCCTAAAGATGCATTCAGAAGTCAATTTCTCCTAAAAATAAAAACAACATTTTAGAAATACCTTTGAAATAAGTTCTTTATAAAAGTCTCAACTCTCTATTTTTATTTCTTACAATCATGTCCTTGTCAAAGAAGGAAAAAGGTTGAATTGTTTTGTTTTGTTCATACATTATCTGGAATTTTCTCTTCTATGTGACTTTTATTGTTTTGAAACAGGGTCTTGCTATGTAACCCTGGGTGATCTATAATTCTTTTTATAGTCCAGGTTGGCCTTGATCTCACAGATCTCCTTTCCCTGCCTACCAAGTGCTGGCATCAAGTCACCACCATACTCAGCCTTTTATGTGATCCAGAAGTTTAGTTCAATGAACTTTAAACCAAATATTCCAACTCCAAGCTTTATTTTCAAACACGATAAATATTTTGAATTTTCCTGCATTCCACATTATGACCATCTTACCACCATCATTACGCAAACCTATAGTTTATCTTGTGCTATCATTAGGTAGATGCCAAAGTTTCAAACACCAACTCTCTGCTATCAACTTAGGATATTCAAGATCTTGCTCAGATAAAAAATTATAACTCAATAGCATTACTTCAAATCTGATATCTTTTTAATTAAATGTTTTTAGACTTTTTGTTTTCTCTTTTTGAGACAGGGTCTCCCTGTAGCCCCAGCTGACCTGAAACTTGCTATGTAGATCAGGCTGGCCTTGAACTTACAGAGATCTGCCTGCCTCTGTCTCTCAAGTGCTGGGACTAAAGACATGTGCCACCATGCCTAGCTCAAATCAAATATCTTTTTATAAGTTTGTTGCTGATGATACATTCCCCATGATTAATTTCTATCTGAATTAATATTACTATTAATATTAAAGTAAACAAAGTAAAAGT